CAGGGAGCCCGATGCGGGGCTCGATCCCAGGACCCTGGGATCATGACCTGAGCCAAAGGCAGATGCTTAACGACTGAGCCACCCAGGCACCCCTCCAAGTGGCCTTTTTTAAATGACTGGGCACAGTTTTTATTAAACCACATGGAAGTGGTCTAGTCGTGGAACTTCAGATAACGCTTTTTTGCTATCACACATCTCAGTGTGGCTCCATGTTTCATTCATACGAGGCGTATAAACGTACATTTCAAGTGAACTTGCACTTGCTGCTTTGTAATTGGAAGCCTTTGTAGAACCGAGGTGTGTTTCCTGCTGCTGTGTGCGTGAGAGCTTACAGATGTGAGGTCCAGAAATAAGTGAAATTTGACCGGTTTGCTCCTCTTGCAGTATATTTTAATTTGGGTATAAGTAATTTTTAAATTGTTTTAAAAATCTGTATACCAGCAGTTTAGGCAAAGCCTTAAAGCACATTTTTAAAATTGTGCTTAATAATGAAGTAGAAGTACTTAATTGCCAGCAAATAAATGTCAAAACAGAGTATATATTTAGACCAGGGGTTAGGAAATTAATTGTCCACAAGCCAAATCCAGCCCACTGCCTGTTTTTGTAGGGCCTGTGAGCCAAGAATGAGCTTTACATTGTTAAGTTTTTTTCTTTTTGTTTGTTTTTTGAAAGAGAGAGAGTGCGAGCAGGGAAGGGGTGAAGGGAGAGGGGGAGAGAGAATCTTAAGCAGACGTCACGCCCATCATGGAGCCCCTCATGGGGCTGGATCTCACGACCCTGAGATCATGACCTGAGCCTAAATCAAGAGTTGGATGCTCAACCAACTGAACCACCCAGGTGCCCCTGTTAAATGCTTTAAAAAAAAAAAAAAATCAAAAAAAGAATCCTGTTAAATAACACATGAACGTTGTAATAAAATTCAAATTTTCCTGTCCATAAATAATGTGTCACTGGCACGCAGCCATCCATGCCCATTCACTGAAGCATCGTCCGGGGCTCCTTTGTACGACAGCAGAGTTGTTTGCATCAGGCATCAAATGACCCCCAAAGCTGGGATCGCTTATTTTCTGGCCCTGTGCACAAGAGGCTTGCTGACCTCTGATTTAGACTAACTTCATTTCTAAGCAATAATCTGGTTCCCATTTCAAAGCAAAACTTGGTGGAGAGAGTTTGTTTCCTCCCGTCTCTCGTGAAGCGGCCGCAAGGAAGAACTGGGATTGTTGTAGCTTCTAAAGCTCTATGTGGCTTGATTTCCATAAAACACTACGTTGTTTTCTAATTGTTTACTTCATTTGACAAACATTGAGAACTTTATTTGTGCCAGACAGAAATCCCGCAGTGTTTTACAGTGAATTTCCATTATAGAGACTATTTGGTAGAGAAATGCAAATTGTAGTTGATTATACATTAAAATGTGAACTTTTTGCATATCAATACCTATGAGTAGGCATTTACTTTCCAGCAAAACTTCAAAAACATTTCAGAATCTTCTTGAATGTTAAAATTTAAGATTTACCTAGACAAATAATAAAAGGTTTCTTCTATGAAAATAAGGTACTAAAATACTTGATGACAGTCCAGTGCAATAAAAGTGGTTTAAAAGAATCTTTGCTTATATGAAATTCCACTTGCTAGTTTCTATTTTAATTGGAGCTAATAATGAAAATTACATTATGGGAGTGAAAATTGACTAGAACATAGTCGCTAATACTGGGTTTCTTCATATTTGACAGTTTTATCAATGACTGTAGTAGAGAGGCAGGCACAGAGGCTAATCTTCGCTGGGCTTGAACCCATCTTTGTCCCTCAGGGGTCTGATCTTGAATAAATAGCTTAACAATTGATCCATGGTTTACTTTTAAAATAATCTGTTTATAAAGGGTGCTTCCAAGAAATAAACCAGGTTAAGTGAATAGGAGTCTGGCATGCAGTTAATCAAATGCTGGATATTTTCCCCCACGTTTGATGAAGTTTCCAATAGGGACAGATGGCTAGGCATTCTTTCTTCTAAACACGTGGAACATCATAGGGCAGATTTTGTTAGATTTGGCGGTCTTAAATCACTTTTATTATTTCCAGTGAAGGGTAAAATAACACGTGAGTACTTGGAACGTCAAGATTTAGGCTTTAGATCATGATGAGAGATACAGGAGTAGGAAGATGGCAGGTGGCCCTGGGAAGCAGCGCGAGGGGGTTGGAGTCTGTGGAAATAGACACCGCCAGGCTAGCTCTTGTAGAACCGCTGCTTCTACTTTCTTGTTTGTTTATAAAAGAATTTTTTAATTGAGGTATAATTGACATAGAACGTTTTAGTTTCAGATGTACAACATAATGACTGGGTATTTGTGTGTATTGTGAAATGCTCACAGGAAGTCTAGTTAACATCTGTCACCATAGTTACAAAAACTTTTTGTCTTGTGATAAGGACTTGTAAGATTTACTCTCCTAGCAGCTTTCCAGTCTGCCAGATGGAGTCACCCTGCAGCAGGTCACCTCCCCACGCTGTAAAGTCAGCGGGAGGTTTGTATCTTTTGACCCCCTCGCCCATTTCGCCCAATCCCAGTCCCTGCTCTGGCAACCTTCGGCTGTTTGCACTTACCCACCGAGTTATTACAGTTCAGAGAAACAGTCTCAAGTGTTCCTGTGGGAATGAATTCTAACCTGGCCCAGGAAACATGGCTCCTTCGGTTAACTAGTGTGCATTGCGAAGCCCTGGCATGGCGTTCTTGGGGCAGAAGGGGCTGTCCCCCTATCCCAAGAAGGAGCCCCCCAGTGGCAGGACCCACCGGCCAGCCCCGCAGACGTGCCTTCCAGTGACTCGGATGCTGCAGTTGTCCTCTTGGTACCCGAGACTATCACAGGGGGCAAGTGCTGAAGTCAGGAAGTGCTTGCCAATATAAAAGCCATGGTACCGCTACCTACTTATTTTAGAAAGGACAGATATGGGGCGCCTGGGTGGCTCAGTTGGTTAAGCGACTGCCTTCGGCTCAGGTCATGATCCTGGAGTACCGGGATCGGGTCCCACATCGGGCTCCCTGCTCGGCGGGGGGTCTGCTTCTCCCTCTGACCCTCTTCCCTCTCATGCTCTCTATCTCTCATTCTCTCTCTCTCTCAAATAAATAAATAAAATCTTAAAAAAAAAGACAGATATGTACTTGAAATGTCCTTCTGTATCATGTTCATACAGTGTTCCAGGTAAAATGTATCCAGACATTAAACCTTTCCATGAGGGAGAGTTACTAACTTTTTGTGCAGGCACATTTAAGGACATAATGTGCTGGGCGCCTGGGTGTCTCAGTCGTTAAGCATCTGCCTTTGGCTCAAGTGTCCTGGGATCGAGACCCGCATCAGGCTCCCTGCTCAGTGGGGAGCCTGCTTCTCCCTCTCCCACTCCCCCTGCTTGTGTTCCCTCTGTGTGTCTCTCTGTGTCAAATAAATAAAATCTTTAAAAAAAAAATAATAATGTGCTTTTGCAGGACATGAGCTTGGTCTGTTGTTCCATCTAAAGTAATGTATGATTCTTCGCAATCCCTACGTGTATAGAACAAGATCTCCTGCTCTGTTTCAGCTTCTAACCTGTCCCGCTTTAGTCTTGGGGCCCAGGTGGTTTTAAGCAATTCGGGAGCTAGCCTTCTGGCTTCGTTGAATCCGGGGAAACTGCTAGGCAGCAATGACTTCTCACCCTCCCTCTACAAGTGTACGGGGGCGGGGGGGGGCCCCCCCCGCTCGGGAAGGTCACAGCAGGAGGGGTGTTTGTCATGAAGCAAAACAGCCTCTTTAGGTCTTTATGGGGGCTTTGTTTCAGAATATTTATTCAGTTGTTTTCCTCACGGACCAAACACTAGTGTGCTGTGTAACCCCCCTCCCCAAAGGGTGACAACAAATACAGAGTTGTAACTGGAAAGAAGAAAAGCATTAGGCCACTTCTCTTGCCTCAAATACTTTGTATTACCTGATTTTGTTCATAAATGGTGATGCTCTCTCCACTTAAAAAGAAGTCCCTGCAAGCAGTAACTGGTTAAGTCTGGTTTGTGCCATTCAATGCTTCATTAAACCAGAGTCTTCTTATTAAACGAGAAAATGCTTGGGCTTAAGTCAACTTTAAATAAAACCATTCGGCTGATATATACAGCCACTATGTCAGGTACTTGTATTCTTGATGTTAGCTCTTCCTCACGGCCCTGCCTGGGAAGATGCTAGTGTTCCTGGAGAGGGTGCCAAGGCGCAGGGGAGGGGCCCTGCCTCACACAAGGCCATACCTCCCACCTTGGCTGCAAAACCCGCGTCCTCTCAGCCCCAGGCTGCCCACGCGGACGGGCTTAGCTGTCAGCACACACTGCTGTTGGCCCCAGTGAACGGATGCTGGGAGTGGAGCGAAGTGTCCACTG